GAAGCTTTGAACCACATTCTTTTGTTTAAACGGGATGCTATATTTTTGGATCCGTGGATATATAAATCACATAAAGGTAAAGATAACAACGTGTTATTATAGCTACTATACACTTAACATGATCACTTGGACTGTTTTCATTATTAGGTTGATTTTTTTCGTCTTTTGTTAAATAATTAATTTTGTTATTATTATTGTTAAATTTCTTTATAATTATTTTAATATAACAATTATTTTTATTATTATCATTGTTAAATTTCTTTATGTTTATGGCAAAATAATTTTGTATTAGTTCTCTAATAACTAAACAATTGGAAATAATCGATGTGGTCATGTTACATAGTCCATCCTGTATATTAGTGTTATTACTCGCCAACTATATTATTAAAATGTTAAAATAGGTGTTTCAATGTTCATGTATTATTTTTAAATATTGACAGTGTTGAAGATTTGTTGAATAACAACGGTAATAGTTGCCATTTCCTTGCCGGTTCCATCAGTAAGAAATAAATTTCACCAGTCAAGGTTATTTGAAAATAATATAATAGCAAGTCGTATTCATCTTTACAGGCAGTATATGGTCACGGAATCATAAATGTAACATGTCGTTTTGAAAAATTAAGCAAATCTTATAGACTCAAAATTTATTCTCTATAAATATATTTTATGTACCAAAGATAATATGTCCCTTATAATCATGAAGTCCTAACAAACTATTTTTCGATATTTTACTTTATTTAAAAAATCTTCGTCTGTAACAGTTTACATAATTTGTCCCGAATTGAAACAATGACATAAACACGCGTTACATTTCATTCATTTTCCATAGAGCATAATTAAATTTTCTTTTTCACAATTCTAGTAAAGATAGTTAAGAAACGATATTCTTTTACATTAAAATAACTTAACTGTCACAGAAACAGTCATAAACAAAATATAAGAAAGATAAATACATGTACACATAAGACAAAATTTTTACCATTTGCAAAATGATTTTCAAATATTTTTTATTTAGACATTGATTTTTGAAATATGCTAATACCATTAATTCTTTGCAATTAACGACTATGGTTGATTTAAAAAGAAAGTAAAGACTCACCAGAGCGTGTCCAACAGTCAGTACAATCCTGACATAACGTGAACCAATCATTCTTTAAGTCTTTAAAACTCGCCATGGTCGGTCGTCAGGACTTATTCCTTCGCCACCGGTTTCTCCGATGGATGCACAACGAAGAAACAAGAATTTCCACCTTGTCACAGCAATGGTTTCTTATGTTTTCCGTGTCACAGCAAAAACACAATCACACTTCCCGCGTAATGTTCAGTGGAACATACGACCAACGTGAAACTTCGCATAACATACGCAGCAACGTTCTCGAGAGGAGATGAGAACCGAAGACAGAACACACACGAGTACTCAAAGCACTCGGCGATTACCTTACGACACCCAGTTCTGGTTTGCCGTTCGTTCCACCCGGTGTTCTCTCTATCCTTGTCCTATCTTTTACCACCACGACCACATCTCTCGCTCTTCCATGTGTCTCACATGTGTATAGCCATCTTTCTTTCTCTAAGTTTGTTACATGCCAACGTCCTTCTTCACTCTAGTTACCAAGTCTTTCGTACTGTTTATTTTTACGATCAATTCTCCACCAGGTCGTCTGTCATCTATCATGTTTACAAGTTGTCTACGTATATAGACATAGACTTACGTCGATATATTTGTTTTCGGTTACACTCGTATTAGCCAACATATTTCACTATTTTTATTAAGGATTAGATTCTTGATTAATATATACAGTAACGAAATTTTAAACTTTAATTGTATTGCGTCTTCTTGATCAGTACTCATTTTTACAAGAAAACTCTATGCTAGTTACATTTTAAATAATTTGTCTACACTAATTTGGAGTTTTCTTAACGGTATAACACGTACGCATGCTCGACTTTTAAACGTTTCTAACTTGAATCTTTATTATTAATACTAAGTAGAAAAATAAAAAAACCAAATACTTTATGTGGTTCTAAAACTCTTCTGCTTATACTAAAACAATGCTTTAAAAAAAATTAATAGTGATGCACGTTATAATTATTTCTTTGTTATTATTTAAATGACATAATATACAACGTATATAAATAAAGTGTATACGGCTTTTACAAAAGAAAATATATATAGCTAAAATTGACTTAGTAACGAATACGTTACACTTTATATTATGTACAATCTTCTCATGTCTTTTTCACTTTTAAAAATCCAGCTGTATTTGAAAAATATTTAGCATTAGCTTCGTTTACTTTCTTTTCTGCAGCTTGTGGGTTTACAATTTCCAAGCCCTATAAATATAAACATACATTTAATTTAATATTGGAAATTAAATTAGTTTCAGTCATTTAATATATTAAAATAGTTTTTTACCTGCAATGGAGTAAATGCAACACTAGATGCTGTACCAGAAACTTGCTTTTTAACCGTTGTACTACCACCCCATTGTTGTTGCTTTTGCAGATTTTTTTGGAGTGTTTTCGATATCCGTACTTTTGTTTTCTCATCGATTTGTGGTAATCGAATACGTCCCGTTCCTGCCTTGCCTATTGTTCCACGCGAATAGCCAAGATCCTCTTGATAGGCATCATTTTCAATCTGTAGAACCATTATATTTTCATTAATATAAATATTATAAAAGACCATATTTAAAAAAAAAACAACAACAAAAAAGCTTACATCGGCGAAATTCATCCTATTTGCGTGTTTCCTAAATTCTGTAATTGCATAACGTTCCTTCATTTTTCTGACACGTTTACCACCGCGTTTCTTTCGTCCTGGATCTATAGGTTTTGGCAAAGGTTTCACAAATTTTACAGGAGGTGGTTCTTGAAGTTTATCAAGCTTCTTTTCGATTTCTTCACGGAACATTTGACCAATACAACCATCTGTACTTTCATGACAAGCATCAACTCGAGCAGCTAACATACTTTTTGCTGCTACAAGCCTGGCTGCTTTTCTTCGTAGATCCTGAAAGTATAGATAAGTAACAATATAAATTTTTAAAGGATATATCTAATATATTTGAACTTTACTGGTGGTGTTTCTTGTACAATATCAGAATAATATATAAATCCAGTATGAGGAAGGGTTGCAACTTGAGAAAATCCAGATAATGTGGTTTTTTGAGAACCCAGGACTAGAACATTGCAAGCTGGCATTTTTGAAAGTTTTGTTAATCCTCCTGCAACACCTATGGTACACAATAAAATATGCATTAATACAAATTAAACAAATTTTAGATATTCAAAGAAGTATATTTTATTATATAATACCCATAATTTTTGCTGCTGTAGATGCACCAACTATCACAGAAAGATTTGGTGCAATAAATGCCATTCTACTTTCAACATACTCAAATATTTTTAATTTGCAGTTATTTAATTCTACTGCCATATCACAAGCCTCACAAATAGCTTCTTTTTCTTCTTCTGTTAATAATTGCCTGTAAATAAACCAATTTTATATTTAAAGTTTATAAATTTATCTTAAATACTGTCATACCTTATAAATTTATTACATAATAAATTACCCTTGTGTGGTTGAAGCAGTAACTGATACTACCATAATTGTTGCTTGAGTAAGAAATTGTTGTAATGTTTCATTATTCTTTGCTCTATCTAAGTCATTTCCTAATTCTCTAACTGTCATTACATATTCTAATGGACCAACGACTAATGACTCTAATTCTGGAAATCTTTTGGAATATTTATCTCTGGTAAATCGATGTATGGTAGCTGAAAAATATAAATTACAATATACATATGTAATAACATTGCAATCAAATATAAGAATGTGCTATAATTACTATAAAAGTATACTATTAATTATACCTATTTCATCGTCAATATCTACAGCCATATTGTTAGCTTCAACAATAAGTTGATATTCTGGATCAGACTCAACAGGCCCAATAATATCTGCTGATTTTCTAGGAACTTTGCTGTATTTTTCTATATGTGACATTACTTTTTGTAACTGTTCTGAATCACGAAGTTTTGCTAATTCTCTTACAGAAGCTACTTTTATTTCTGCAATTAAATTAAAGAATAACACAATAATGTATATTAAATATGATATTCATAAATATATTGGATAAGACATTCAACAATTATTTCTATTTGTAATTGTATTATTGTAAAAATAATGTACTGTAGAAAATTAACCTTCTTCGATGCTTTTAGAAACAGAAGTCGGAATAAAATCCGGCTCTGGTTCTTCTGCAATATGGTCACTATCGTCATTTTCTTCAAGATCTGCTAACAATTCATCCGCTAACGACATATTTTCGTTAAAAATTTACTTGAAATATAAAATACTTCCTCAATTTTTCTGTTTGACAATCGTCTTCGTTTACCTACTATAGCGCCATCTATATATCACTACAGTTTGGAGTCTATACAGTGTAGAGCGGCGTTCTCAAAACTGAATTGCTGCGATTGGTCAGTACCGATATCTATCATATTCACCAATCTACCACCTTGTCATCGTCTCGTATGCATCAGTGAAAAACCGGCTTACAGTAACAGAAGGTAAAGTACAGTAACGCAAGGTAAAGAGATTTGTCGATTGACGATAGTATGGAATGGAAAAATGAGTTGTTCTCTCCCCACCACATTACCAAAACCGTGTGATCATTGACGCACGATGTTCGAGGGGAATCGTCGTCGTGGTGCATTGCAGTATCGACAAGGATAAAGAAAAAAAGGAAGGCCTTCCGACGAATGACAGCGCGCAAAACCGATCACGCGGCTGAACCGGGAGATGTGCTTTCGGTCGGTGTCAGAGACCGTGTGCGTACCGTGTACGTGTATGCGTTGCGGCAGTATCTCACAACAAATATGTCGTGGTGGGGAGTACATTTTCCCGTTTGCTGTTTCGCATATTTCTTCCCCCGCATTATTATCATGTAGTTTGGCATAGGTGAACCCTTGCGTATTTCTTTCAATACCGAAAGGTACAGGTGTGTGTATGTGTTGATACAATTGTTAATCGAGAAGGAAGTTTTCTGCATGAAAAGCGACAAGGGTCGCCTCATCGAGGATAAAGCGCGATGAGAACGATGCGCGAGTTAGCTCTCTTACTCGGTAATTAGAACGATTATTTAATCATGTCCAATCCGCGAGGAACCAGAGACGACCGTGGGCAGGCAGCGGCGTGAGTCTCGCGGTTAATGGTAGGTGTGGAGTCTCGTGTGGAGTTGAAACGACGACGTGTGTTGACGTTGATTCGGTGGTTGCGTTCCCCGGCTACGCCTAGGTGAAAAATGCGGTTCTGAATCGCGACGTGCGCCGATCCCGTGCAATCACGAACAGGTTGTTCACGGGTGGCTCCTTCGATACGCACATTACGTTACGATTCTTACTCGCGAACACAGACTCGTGTTCGGGTCTGCGTGTTGTGTGTGTATGTGCAGTGTTTGGACAATCAAGGATATATTCCTTCGGAAGGACAGCCTGACACGGAAGAAACGCCGGAAGGAAGGAAGAGGAGGGTAGCAGGGTAGCAAGATGGCGGGATCCTTAACGTGGTCGTGTACTTGTTGCCTGCGGTTCAAGTTCAGCCCCGAGGAGATCGAGCAGCGTTACAAAAGTCAAGAAATCGATCGAATGCTGGAAAAGGATCGTCAAACTCTTCGGCGACAGGTTAAGCTGCTGCTCCTCGGGGCAGGAGAGAGCGGAAAGTCGACATTCCTCAAACAGATGCGAATTATTCACGGAATTAAATTTGAGGTAAGACATCCTCAATTTCCTCCCAAGACAATTTTATTTCCAACTTAATCTTCTCTTAGTATGTTACCCCGGATATTATCATTATCTTTCATAGCGTTTCCACTTTGGATTATGTATAATTCACTGATAGAAAACTTTAATTTTGTCTGAGCTTCTGTCAGTGTTATTGTAGTTGTTGTTTAAATATCCAACTATAGGAAAGTGTTTAATCGAAATATAGAATTTAGAAAATATGGGAAAGTGACCTAAATTATAGACAGATAATGTTTGTATTTTTCTATTTAAACTTCACTGAATATGATTTAGTTGTTATATATTTTCATTACTAAAGAAATTTAGTAAGTTTGTATTTGTGTTTGTTTATTTTCACTTTGTAATGGTTATAAATAAATTGATTCACAAATGACTGTTATTAAAATAAATTTTTATAATTAACTTATAGCTTTTTAAACAAGTACAGAGATAATTTAGAAGAATGTTCACAAATAGACTTCAAGTATAGACTATTAAGTTTACACATTTACTATCAGTATGTTTATTCTACTACTGATAGCAATCCTAATCATTGATTATACATGTTACAGTATATGAAATAAATTGAGAGCTATATATAAGAAATGGGTTTGAAGATATAGACTTATTTAAATTATTTTTTACATTTATGGCAAAATAATAAATTTATATAAATTTAATATTTGTAATTATTTGTTTCAGCCTGAATTAATTAAGGAATATCAACATGTAATTTATCAAAACATAATTAAGGGAATGAAGGTATTAGTAGATGCTCGTGACAAGTTAAATATTCCATGGGAAAACCCTAAAAATTATGATATTGGTTATCAATTACTGAAATTTGAAAATACTATGGTATTAGATGCTAGATTGTTTCTTCATTACGTACCAGCTTTACAAAGTTTATGGAAAGACGCATCGATCAAAAAAGCCTTTGATAGAAGAAGAGAATTTCAATTAGTAAGACATATTTTATTTTTCTCAATAATCACAATGTGTTTTATATTATAATTATTTTAATTTTAATTGTAATACATATATAGGTAAAATATGAACTTAAGTTCACATATAAGTCAATAAATATTGAAATTATCCAATTTATTTTCGTATTATTACATTATGTAATTTAAAAATATAACTTCTCTTTACAGAGTGATTCAGTTCAATATTTCTTGGATAACCTTGACAGGATTGCAAGAATGGTAATATTATTTAATTTTATTACCTAATTTCTTGAATAAAAATTTAATGTTTATAATAGATCAAACTAAATATATAGAAATAATTTAACAAATTTTATGAAATTTATATTTTTCCAGGATTATGTACCTACACATCAAGATATTTTACACTGTAGAAAAGCCACTAAAGGAATTTCAGAATTTGTCATACAAATTAATAATATTCCATTTCTGTTTGTTGATGTTGGAGGACAACGATCTCAAAGACAGAAATGGTTTCAGTGTTTTGATTGTGTTACTTCGATACTGTTCCTTGTTTCATCATCTGAATTTGATCAAGTATTGTTAGAAGATAGGTATGTTTAATTAAAATTAGCATATTAAGAGATTTGGATATTGAATCATAATGTAACAAGTCTTTATTAATGTTACAGGAGAACCAATCGGTTAGAAGAATCAAGAAATATATTTGATACAATAGTCAACAATATGATATTTGGTGGAGTGTCTATCATTCTATTTTTAAATAAAACTGATTTGTTAGACAAAAAAGTAAAATCACCTGATACAAATGTTCGTTGGTATTTTCCACAATTTACAGGAGATTCACATTCCATGAAGGATGTGCAGAATTTTATACTTGAAATGTTTATATCTGTTAAAAGGGATCCAAGAAAACCACTTTTCCACCACTTTACTACTGCTGTGGATACAGAAAATATAAAGGTTGTATTTAATGCAGTCAAGGACACAATTTTGCATAGAAATTTGGAGTCTTTAATGCTCCAATAATGATCAATGTATATAAAAAGTGAAATGACTTTTGATGCAAAGATATGCATTCACCATTTAGTGTTTGATACATAGTGAAGTGAAATTATAGTCAAAAAAGTATTAAGATGTCAGTTAGGAAAAAGTTCTGGTAAGACAATATATATTATGTATATTGTATTAATGTAAATCACGTGATTATCTCCGTTTATAACGGTAAAGTAAACGTTTTCATAATAGTTTTATACAACAAGGGAAGTAAAAACTGCCTAATGAAAACATGTATTGAAAATTTTTAATGCTCTATACACTATATATATATATATATACACACATACATATACATTGATAATATATTTCCATCTTTTTGGATGAATATTGATTACTAAAGGGTTGTATGAAGACTATTATATACAATTTATTGTACATAGTATCTTGTATTCTATACATTGTCAATAACAACGGTTTTACATGTTTGTATAAAAAAAGGATCAGTTTGCTAATAGTTTAGCTAAGATTTTTCTATTTTGTACAGATATTTAATCCAGTGCTTCTCTTTTATATTAAAGCATATAATGGAAATGCTGGTCACGTAACCGGTATCCACAAACATAAAAGTAACTTATTTTATACTTAAGATTAATTAATCTATCTTTCAAAATATATCTTTGTTAACATTGAATATTAAGTAACAAGAAAACCAAATACTAGATCCATGCCATATAAACCAAATGAAACTAACCAGTTTGTGTTCAAATTGCCATGTGCAAAATTTGTTAATTTTTATGTACTTTCCTTTTTCTTGATTTAACTTGAAAATTATATATAAAGTTCCAATATTTCAAAATAACATTATGATTTTTATACTTTTATATTTTCGATTTTTTTATTTTGTATTTTCTGGAACTAAATCTTCGTTCGATTATTATAATTCAGAAAAAAATAAAAACTATAATTTAAATTAATATAGTTCTCTATAGTTAATTACTGTTTTGTTTAATTTTTTCTGTTTATAATGTAAACTTTCAGTATTTTCTAAAATAAATGGTGTACAAGATTTATACGGAAAAGCCAATAATTGTTTCAGTTTTTGTTGAATAATTAAGTAACACTTTTTTTTCTGATAACTTTTGATTTTGATAACTGATCCTTAATTCGACATTATTTCTTTAAGAAAAAAATATCTGATCAGTATTATTATTTTTTCATGTACAAAGATTCAAATAAAATTGGTTTTTTAATTTGATAATAATTTTCCAGAATTGTGCTTTATTAGATTATGAATATATGGCTTAACACTATGTAATTTTTTTTTTTTTTTAATATAAATTCTTGTTCCCATGCATTTTGTAAATTATATGGCATTGTATAAGTGTTATGTAACATAATTAGGATGGAACAATTGCATCAAAAATTAGAATGAGAACTGTTGGCAAAAATGTTTTATATAAAAAATTTGATAATTTAAAAATTTCTAATTGTAGGGAACAATTTTCTCAATTGGAGAAACAATTGTAAGCAGTACTATAACCAAGGATTTTATGTAATAATTATTATAATGAAACCAAAGAGTTTTAAAACTTATTAATGTAATTTATTTCCACTAGTTTAACATAACATCTAATTTTATAACTACTTTTAAAAATACGTTTATACACATGTATACAGTTATTTCATATTTTCTGTCTTGGTCATTTATTACATAAAATCTTTGTTTTGATTATCTTTTGTATGAAAGAAAAATGGAAAACATAGAACATTAAAAAGATTGCATTTTGAATCAAGCGTTTTTGAAGGTAATAAAACTGAAATCAATATTTTGTTGTGTTTGTATATAAAAAAATTTTAGATATAGTGTGGCAATATGAAATGTTAGTAAATTGAATTTTTGTATGATTTGTATCATGCAAGGTTAATGTGAAATTTTGATGATTGGTATATTTTCGTAACTGATACATTTTACATTCCTATAAAGTTAATCAGGTTTTAATTGATATTCTTAGAGTATTTTTAAATTATATTACATTTTTATATTATAGAAACATAATTATTGCTTCCAATGAAGCATTGTTTTAACAGGCAAATTCAAAATATGGTTTTATACAGTTTATATGTCTCTTTCTGTATACAGAACTTATTCACCAATACCCATTGAGAGTAATATTTGTAATTTTTTATAGAGATATTTTATAGAGGAATATACTCTTGATACTTCATAAATTAAACATTTACCTGTGAATTTATATAAGTATAATGTATAAAATCTTTATCTTATAGAAAATTTTCATGATACTTAAAACTTTTATAACATGCACAATTCATTTTGTAGTGATATACATACAACGTCCGTTTCTCTAATTAAATAGTGAGAAACCTTATTTTAATATATTTTGTTACGAAATCATTTGAAATATGAACGAAGATATTACTTAAACGTTTTGTATTTTACCTCAATTACTTCATATTTATGTATCATGCAAGTTTTCTTCTAAACTGTTATATAGTAATGAAAGGAGTGACGACATACTGCGGATCATCCATGTTTAAAAATTTGATTGTAATGCGGATTGGTGAGAGTGTAGTAACTTTGTGATAGAATTTCGCGAAAAGTCAAAAAATGATTTTCATATTTTTAGAAATGCAAAAATTATTTTAATCTATTCGATTTAATCAATTTAATCAATTTAATACATTTCAGTCTACATAAAAAGTAAAATTTAGATATTCTATAATTACTAAATTGTTGACGATGATACAGTAATGTTTTATACACGCGTGCGCGCGCGTGCGTTTAAAACAATTTTATTATAATTTGTAATTATATTTACATTAGGTACTTTTATACGCATACCTACATTCTCAAATCATGAATGTCATTCATACATAGTAGATACTAATTACAATGAACAAAAACTATGAGGTAGCTTTATGTGTAGTTTATTATATCTATATGAGATTATCGTTTTTACATGTATCTTCTTATGTAAATTGTTTTTAATGCTACACAAAAATATTAATAATCCATCAAAAGTCATGAAAATTATCACTACGGAAGATAATTTTTTTAATCACGAATGTTAGTAAATTAATTATAATAAATAATGTTTGCATCTGTCTTTAAATTGTGATTTATCAAGGAACTATATGCATACACTCGCAATAGACTACAACAATAACGAAATATTTTTTTGTAAGTTTGTATAATATCAACTAAACTAAACTAAGTAAAATGGTTTTGACAGATTAATACGAATCGACTGCAAATTATTTGCAGATAATCTTTGAATACGCAATATTTTTGAAAAATTAAATTTTACTTTCACTTTACAATATACAGCAGCAAATCTATTTTATTTGTTATTAATAGTCAGTCGTATATTCAAATATTATTTGTATTTTTCTGTACATGATCTAAAGAATGTAGATATATTGTGCCTTTTGTATATTGTATATTTGTATATAAACATATTTTACATAAAATATTGTAATAATGTAGTCTATTCACATAAACAATAAATAAAACTTCAGAAAAATGTTCATTTTATTTAATAATCTTTTCACAACTCATATTTCTTTCGTCATTGTTTCAATTATTTCAATGTTATAGGAAAAATATACTATTTAAAAAGAAAAATTTTGTGCAGTGTTAATTAAACAAAATGGCACACAAATACGAAAAAAATATATATCTATATATTTTTGTATTATATATATATAAAATAGTCATATATTTATATATATGTTCATATATATGTATTATACAATGGTATATTTATTTGTAATAAATTTTATACAAAGTAAAGCACATGCCTATTTCGCATAACTTATTTAATAAAATGCACAGTATTTACATTTCTGCAAAAAATATATAAGATACATTTTTTTGTTGCAATTGTTTGAAATTTTCTTTGTAGTTCGGCGCAGCAAATAATATTACGTAATGATATTTATAACACATAGATGTTACACTTATTTAAACATCACATTGGCAATTCTCTACAATTAGTAATTACATTCTTTCATAACTACTAGCGTATTCCATATATTACAGTAATATTTACATTTTTTTCATTGATAATATATATCAAAATCGTACAAAAGTGAAAATATAATTATATATTCTTCAAAAAATTTGAGATATGTAAACACCCAAAAGGAGGTGTATAGAAAATTTATATATAATTTTACTCAAACTTTATAACAAATACATTTCAAAATTAGTTTGAAAAATGAATTATATAACTAGTCGTTTTTATATCTATCTTGTTTTTGTATTGCATGACAATAGATATTGTGAAAGATCGTTATTATAGTCGATTCGACTATAACACATGATTTTATTGCATAGTGTTTATGTAATTAAGAATTTAATGTCCCAAATTATAATAAACAGTTCTTCATTGTATTAATCTTCGGAAATCTAAATCACTAGCTAATTATGTGTACTTTTAAGGATTTATTACAAATCTGTGCATTAAAATTCCTTTAAACGTTATTTTAAATAATATTGAATATTCAATAGAATAGTAAAAATGAACATTTATGTTAATTTAATAAATTTTAAATTAATATAACTTGTTATAGATATAATTTTAATTGTTTCTTCATTACTTGTTTAATTATTCGTATTTTTTATCCTTTGTATGTTCTAAACAAGCAATATATTCCATATCTATATCTCTATTTTATTTGTCTGATTTGGATGAAATCTGGTTATAGTATTGAATAATGTATGTGTTATAGTAGAAACGATTGTATTAAACCATATTATGTACTTATTCATAATATTGAGCGCATTTTGAGATTCTGGCGGAATGTAACAAGCCGTGTTACTTTGAAGTATTATGCGTAATAAAATAAGAGATTTTTAAGAATATTCATATTAAATATAAATTGTCATTGTGCACGTTTGCTATTTAACTATATCTTTAATGATCGAAGAATTGACTTGCAGACTTTGAGAAAAATATGTGGTAATATTTGCATTTTGGAATTTTTTATATTTGTAAAATGTATTACTTTCGTAATTATCTCAAAATAGTTATTCTGTTGCTTGGAAATTTTATTAGGGATTGTTGGATTCTTACATCCATGGAATGTTACGATTTAATTATGAACGGTATTTTGCCAAAAAGTCTTACAAATATTCAAAAGATATACTTAAATATTTTGTTAAAAAAATGTGCCTTGTGTATTTTTTATCATTACCATCATCGATTCTGTATCGTCTTTTATTCTCTCATTTTCTTAGAAATTCTCCCAAATAAAAGATTAACGCATATGAATTAAATTGGAATTATAAATATTTTAAACGCACGTAACAATCAACAATAATTAAATGGAAACAATTTTTGCGTTTAATTACTTAAAGATAATATTCATAAAAAACAATGCAAAAATAATTATACAATTTTTCTAAATGTGCATTTCTAGATTTACTATTTGTTATGATATTTTGTAAACGCAATTCATAGTTACGTTTACCAGATTTGTACAATAGATAGAATACGTATAAACAAACAGAAAAACATTAATACGTTGTTACTGTTTGTTAAGAGTGCCACTGAAACGATTCATATTTTAAATTTAATTTTGGTTTAGATCTCGATGAATTTATAGCACCGTATAAGTGATTTATGTACGTAGTAGTTCAATATCAAATTCCAATATGTTTTAAATTATTATATCTACAACTCTACTACAGTACAGTAATGTCCTATAATATCAATGAAGAATTTGTTTTTCGGAAATATCCAAACAGTTGTTTTCCGAACTATACAAATAGAGTGAATGAATGTGATCCATAGAATTTTTTTAATTTTTGTTTTTTCTCAGTAACAAGGATTACAATAAATTTCTGATGTCCTCAATTAAAATGAATCCAAACATGGACACAATCTAATTATTTAAAATTTAAAAAAATATATTCCATGAGTAATTATAAAATATTAGTAGATTTTACATTCTTAGCGATTTTATTCAATTTTAATGATTAACAGAATAAAACAGCTGAGATAAATTAATATAAAATATATTTCTATTAAATTCAAAATTATCCGACAGTTATTGACCATGTTTGGGTTCATTTCAATCTGGAAATTATTATTAATCCTTTGCATTAATTTTTATCAAAGAAAGATAAAAATTATTGTTTAATGGTGGAACTGTTTTCTCGTCCACGTCCATTGTAAGTATTTATTTTACTGATCCAAGTTAAATTAAGATTCGTTAATAACAAACTGCGAATTTGATTCTATGTTAATAGGACATTACTGTATATTCATTATTTATAAATTTTGGCTCGATAACGTAGCACAAAACTCTTTCACGCTTAATAGTTTACAAGCAGTTTATCACATGGAATTTTTATATTATATCGATTTTTGAATATGAATTATGTTGAATAAATTCAAACGCTATAGTAAATATACATTCTCTTGGCGTTCAAATTACATTATGCTTTAATTTTTGGTACAAAATTATAAATATTAAATTAAAAGTACACAGAAATTGCTTTTGTTTTTTTTTTCTTTTTCTTATTTTTCTTGGAAAGAGTTTTACGTGAGAACGTTTGTGAATTAACACGAGAAATGCAGTGAAAATATTCCCTTCAGAAATAACTTGCTTTCTCTACAATAAAAAAAAACACTGAGTGGAACATGGTTTAGAGTTCTAGTTCCTCGGCAGTGCGAGAGAGTCTATGATTATCGATACGTCTGCGTTGGCTACGCCTAACTGCATCCGCTCGTCGATACGGTTCGGATCTAAGCCCAAGAAGAATGTCTTCCAGAGCACCATTATAAACCTCATCCTGCTGCAATAACTTCTTCTCTTGAACCAGTCTTGTTTTATTTTTCAGTTCATTTATCACAGCGTCCTGTATAAAATTATCGGTCATTTATTAGTCATTAATCAATACTATGTATTATTAAAGGATTAGCTCCTTTAAATGACAAAAATGAATTAACTAAATAAAGTAATTATTAGTTTTTCTTATACTTGAAATACCTAAGTATCATTTTAGTTAAGCACTGCTTTTTGTTGTAATTTATATACAATAAACATAGATGTTAGAACAAGAAAACGTTCTCAGTAAATGTTTCTATCAATTTATATCTAATTAATTTTATAAGATATTAAGGAAAATATTGTATATCAATTTGAAATTGTAACAAACATTATGTAATTTAAAATTCATCTTTGTCACACGCATGATACATTATATTATACAATTTTTTTATAAATGTATTTTTGCTCTTTTGAAATAAATAGTGAAGCAAATAAAAATACAAGTAAATTCTTAATATGATAAAGTAATAAAATATGTACTTAAAGTTTATCTTTTTCTTTTATCTAGAGAAAATATGTTTATGACCTTTCATGTTTGTTTTCTCTTCCACTTTCAATTGTTTGTTGTACAAATTAAGAAATTTTGTAATTGAAATTGTACAATATAATTAAATCTTGATACTTAATTGTGCTAAATATTTAAATAAATCTGTAATTGGATTAAAAAAAGAACATACAAATTTAGGAAAAGAAATTATAGTTTTTATGAAAATTTTAGTTGTGTTGCTGAAATAAAAAATCTTTGAATCAATATGCATCTTATAATTATAAAGTTTTAATTATGGATATTTGAATTTCTCCTACTTGGTACAAATTATAATAAAATCTAATTTAATATTCAGTTCAACTGCTATATATTGTTAATTTGTAGGCGTTTAATCTATGAAACTTTTGGCAGTAGCATAGGAAAGTGATAATAGAGGACTTCTCTCAGGCAACATCAATGCAAGCTAGAACACATGCCGATGCATTTTTTATTTCTTTGTTAATGATATGAATCAAGTGAATATAGTTTTTCTTACCACAAGATTTGGAAGACAGTTCTTCAAAAATATAATGTCAGAAAAATGAAAGTAATTCAAATTTTTCTATAATATTGCTATATACTAATAAAATTACTAAAAAATTGTAATATTAAAAAGAAAAAAAAAGAAATAAAAATGTAAATTTGATAAAATCTTATTTGAAGATTATACATATTGTAAGCATTAAAAATAAGAATGTAGAAATTAAAGCAAAATAAACAAGATGGAAACATTGTACAATTTTTTAATATTTGATTAAAAATAAATATAAAAGAAGAACTATTTTCTAACGTGGTTTTAGAGTATTTTAATCGTGTATCTCGCATGATAATAATAGCTAAACCTACATGTGTGTTGTTTATGTGCGATTGCGATCATTAAAAATATGTCATTAGAAGGAAGTGAGTAAGGACAGACTTACATGTTGTGAATTGTTTCTATATTGTTACGTTCTGAGCTCCAGTTCATTAAGATGCCGATGTAACAGACTCTTGTTTGTGTTACAGCAAAATTTCGGTGACTTTAAATCCAAATAAATATGTAACAAATAAGAAAAACAGACGTTCATGAGATACCTTGATAGACATCATGTCTGTTCGTGAAACGGAAAGTATGCTAAAAGAGCACTCTCGAAATAATCAAAATTATTATAATCATGTGATAATCCCTGAAAAATATCATGCTATCTCACAACATGCAGCGAAAAGAAATGCCTTATAAATTTATTTTCGCACGAGCATAGTAATTTGCAAAAATTATTTCCAAAAAACAGTAATCTTTTTTCTTAATCGACACTTACGTAAAGCTAAATAGTGTCCCCATATAAAATTATTTTTCCGTGTTTAACATCGACAATTTTGCTTAAATAATTATAATAATGAGATGTATTGTATTGTGATTGTAGATAATTCTAGCTCAAATTGTATTGTATAAAAAAATAAAAAATTTTGAAATGTTTCATGTGTAATGATATGTAAGCATTTTTATAAAATTTTTAATCATGCGTAGTTGTTAAGAATAATTTGATGAATAAATAAGCGCAGTCAGGGAACGCAAGCGTATTAAAAATTATGGCAAAATTGATTTTGCATCACACAAACACACACACACGAGTATAAAGCTTCAAACAGAAATCAAATGTAAAGAAAAATTTCGATGATATTGCAAATTTTACAATATTTACAGGCTTATTTTTTTATAAATGGTATGAAAATGAAAATCTGTTTGACGCCTTTTTGATTTAATACGTGAAACTATGTCTTTCTTAAATAATAAAACAGTATTGTCATATTCCTTAAAAAAATTAAGAGATGCTAATATTTCAGTCATAGTGCCATGCATGTATAATATCTGCTTGTAAAAAATAAACAGAAGTTATAAATATTATATCATACACATACAGCTAACACAGTACAAATCTTTAACTAAATATTATTTAACATAATAAAAGTGAAAGTAAATCTTGCAGCATTGATGTTGAGAGAGAAAAAGAGAAAGAGAGAAAGAGAGAAAGAGAAAGAGAGAGAGAGAGAAATGAAAAAGATTAATATAAATCAATGTTATATGTTTGAGCATATATAAATGGAGAAAAGTAATTAAAAATATAACAATTTCTATTTACAAAATAATAGATAAAAATTAAGTTGATAATTATAATGTTTATAACATTAAGTTTTAACTTAGAAATTTAAGAATAATAAAATAAAATTTTAAGAAGCTTAACTGAAAAAATATTGACATTCGTACTTGTATGTAACTTGTTACACTTTTTACAGAGTGTTGGTTAACGACAAAATAAATTTGTTATAAATATAAGCTATTAAATGCATAGCGTGCAATGTACGATTATAATAACGAATCTAAGTAATTATAATTTCTTTCAAAACGAATAATAAAAAATAAATAATTACTAAAACGTACCTGTTGCTTCTTTTGATTTAATTTATTACGTTTAATAACATCTTCTGAGGCGTTCAAAGCTTCTGCAGCAGCAGCTTCTAATCTACGACGCTGTTCATTTTCTTGATCCGCAGCCTGGAAAAGTACTTTACTTTGTAGTATTTTATTAAATACTTTACTGTTTTATTTTTTGTAATTACAGTAATTGAGTATAAGAAAACCCCCCTATATATATATATATATATATATATATATATGTATCCTTCATGATGCAAAAATTAAACAATACCTTAAATGCCCTTGCGAATCTGACAAGAAGAGAGAAGAATGTATTAGCATCAGCTTGTCTGGGACTTTCTCCAAAAAATTCAACGCATTCTCGGAATGCTTCACCGGCAGCACGAGCATCAGATTTTAAGCGACGTAATTTTTCTTCAGAGTTATTTAAGAAATCACGCAGGACAGTATTATGCTTTTCTTTACCACGAAGTTCAAATTCTTTCCTTACAAGATCCATACCCTTTTCTAATTCGTGAACATCAGTAGTTATATTTTCTAACGAGACTAAAAATGTTAAAAGAAATAAAAACGTATATATATATATAGTAAAATGTTTTTATATTGTTATAGTAATAATATATTGTTGTATATAACGAAAGGAATTCGTGTATTTTTCTTTAGACACATTTTTGTATCATTAAAAATAATGTAAACATTTTAAGCTCAAGTTCAGGTGATTTATCGCATAAATAATATTTATGGTAAGTATAAAATTTGAGTTAAATTAATAGTCCTAATGTTGCGAATTTCTTTCGTAAGCTTTATAAATAAATTTTTACGGTATACGTATGTGTACATTTGTGCACACAAAAATATGAATCGATTGAATAAGTTATTGTAACTGTTCAATAGTTAAAGTAATATACCCACCGGTTGCAGCTTTATCGATATACATAAGTTCCGATTCAAAATTGATCAATTCTGGAAATTTAACTCGTATTGTTGCTACAATATAATGTAAAAGGCACATTCTCTTATCCGTTGATTTTGTATCGAGTAATGTGTCTAAACTTTGAAGTTTGAATCCATATGCTGGACCTCGTTTACTACTATTTAAATAATTTCCGAAGGCAAGGATAATTTCTAATACTGCTCTTAGTTTCTTTGAACTTTTAACCGAACTCGAAGCAGATATCACAGCATGTATTTGAGGAGTAATAAGATGTAAATTGTCGAAAAAGTTTCCAATATAATTCATAATGGACAGCTTCGTTGATATCCTTTCTACTTTACCGAGTTGCATTAAAAATTTGTCTTCTTCCGTTAAAAGATTAACATTTTTCTTTTCTATGATGTATTCCCTATATGCTTTTATCTGTAACGTCATAAAATTTCGTGTGTGAGTATTATAAACATTTTTATATTTTTATGTATTTTTATGAGAGATATAGACTTAAACGTACTTCTTGATCCGTAGGCACCATGCGTTGTAACAATTCTACATTTTCCAGCGAAAGTACTTTTAAGTCAAGAGCATTTACTGCCATAATTACTTTCTCTACTGGCATTTCCATCTTTCTTCGTGATATAGCTGAAACGTAATGGAAAGGAATATATGAACCAAACATTCAATCTTTAAAATTTTTTTAAAGAAAATTAAAATTTTCATTATACATACCAATATTTCGTAATCTGGTGTGTTCTAAGAGTGACACATTTTCCGGTTTCTTAAATCTTTTACTAGGAAAGCTTTGAAGACCGTCTATTTCGTTATTACCATTAGCAACGTGACTTCCCATTCCGATTTTAAATCGTTCTTCGAAATCGGAGAAGTCTATATAACTGTGCAACCGATCATCATCCAATTCATTGAAAATAGTACCTCGTACTTGATTAGGCTTCAGAGCAATCCAATTAAGTGTGGGAAGTTTGTACTTCGTTTGAACCTGCAATCGCATAATAAAGAGCAATAAAAATTGTTCTCTTCGATACAATATACAAAATACATTAATAAAAATTAACGAACATTTGTATATTATAGAACTTAAAAAAATGACGTAATAGTTGCACATTAAGATTTCTATAAGAAAAACGCACCTTTCGTTTAATGGTCATTGCTCCATCCGGTGCTTGCATCATGCCAGCAGGTGGTGGAGGTATAGGTGCAGGTGGTGGTAATTTTTGATCTCCGGGAGAAAGAGGTGCCATAGGAGGCGGTGGTGGACATGGAGGCGGAGGTGGTGGCGGTGGCGCTGGAGCGGATGGAGGTGGTTCTTCCAATGTTGGAGACGGAGTGGAATTAAGAGTGGAGGAAGTGACGTTATCCGAATTGCTAACAGGGCTTGTTGCACATCCATTTCGAAGATTGGCTGCACGAATTTAAAATATGTGATATCAAATACTAACAATTTTCTGATTAACTTAAAATATACAGAAATTTCTAACATACCCGAAGAACCCTTCGTAAGTGTGCCAGTAAGTGTTTCTAATTCAATAATTTTGTTTTCTAAAACGCTCTGCCTTCGTGCAGAATCTTGCTTTTGCCTTTTCAAAGCTGTGAGTTCTTCTTCAGCCAATCGTCGAGCTTCCACAGCATCGGCATATTCCACTTTTAATGCACCTAATTCAGTCTCTAATTCCGCTAATTTTGCAAGCGATTCTCTTTCTAATTCTGTCATTCTATCGTGTGCCTAACAATGTTACAACGAAATATTTAGCAAATAAACATTTTAATAATTCATTTAGGCTGTCTAATTTGAGATAATTACTTACATGACCCAATTCGTCTTCTAATTCAGCTACTTTTTCTAACGCAGCAGTCTTAGTTTCACTGTCTTCCATTAAGGCAGCTACATCGAATACGTTATCTAGATACGCAGAGATTTGAACCTGGGAAAATATTGCATCAAATAAATACAATATTATATTTTAAATATCTGATAATCAACTGTTTTAATGTCTTATGCTCGAAAGATTAATTGTTGGTATTTCATATTTCACTTTATTACGATTTTAAATATCCTTTTTAGATCTTTTGTTAGTGAATTACAAATATCAATTTTTTTTTTACAAAAACAACTGTAAAAAGTAATTTTTAATTATTAGTAATTTTAGACTAAAAGAATACTTTTATATAAACTGAATATGTTTGAACGAACTACGAAATATTATTAGATGTAAGAATTTCTGAATAAAATCTTCTATCACAGAACACTTAGGATCTAATATAATATGAAATGATGAAATTACATATAAGTGAAATAGCATAGAAATTAGGTTCATAAATATCAATTCACATAACAACAACCAATAGATCTAATCTAAAATAATCTAAATAAAAATCTAAAATAAAAAATTTATCTTTGTCATTGGTTTTCAATTTTCTTTCTTATGCAGATTATTCCTATCAAATATTTGAAGCTACGATGCAAGAATTTCGTGCATAAAACTTCGATCACTTAAACTTCAAATGACAATAGAAATGTGCAAAATGTTAAAAATTTGAAAACTGACAAATTTCCCAACCTGCAAATCCTCGCTCTCGGTATGCCTGAGTTTCTCAAGATATTCATCCAAGCCAAGCTTGGTAAATTCATATTGCAGATGAACCCTGAAATTCATGTCTTCCACCGAGTGAACCACAATATTTACGAATTGCATACAAGCAACCATGAATTCTATGTGAAAACTATCATATTGGGTAAAATATGCCATAAGCGTAGTAAATCGTCGACGTTCCGAGCAAACTTCCTTGAAGTTGTCGAATGCTGACAGAATAATCTCATGGCCACCTTTTACCAGACAGATAGCAGCAAGAAGTTCTAGCACTAAAGCCTTTGTTCTGAAAATAAGGCTTTTTTTTAATTTTACATCTTTAACAAACTTTTATTTACATAAAACCAAGAAGGAATATGCTTACCTTAAACTTTTGTGCATTAAACTGAGTGCTATACAGTTAATCGCCTCACGATGTTGAATGACCATGTTAAATCCATACTGTAATGTATTTATATAAATATTTAACACAATATTTACACGATATAATAGTAATATAACATAATGTTCATGATCAAAAGTATTAAAAGATCGCAATAATTGTACAGTTTAATCTCCCTTGTATTGTGATCTTAATTACAATTTAATATGAAATTATTATATAATAAACATTTCTTATATCTTTCATTTCATTATTAGAATAAGAAAGTGTAAGGATGGAATACAAATGCATAAGGATGAAACAAAAAAGTTCGGAATGGATGAACTTTCTATCTGTACGAAACAGTCCTTGTACTAATTCCAAGATACGCAGTTTTGTACCTTATTATTCATGATGGCACGCATGCACAATATGCAGACGTGAATGTCGTCTTTCGCTTCGCCCATATTCAGGCGCGCCACGTGCCGAGATCTCCTTTTAACGCCAGGGCTATCCTTGAGCTCATGGAGCGGTGGCCTCAGGCAACCGTTATTTAAGGGTGAAGTATCCCCGGAACCAACTGGAAAATAATTATGTCGTGCATAGTTTGCATTTGCCGATTCAATCTTTTCCAGGTTGTCGCCGTAATAAAGATGAGTGTTGACCCATGTACTGGCGTGCGAACTCTTACCGGTTTGCAATTTTTCCTCGGAACTTGCGTGGGATTCCAGGAGACGTTGCTCGTGCCTCATCATGAGTAACCTGAAGCTGAGGTAGTCTATGAGGGCGTCCAAGCCTTGGTTCTCCTCGTCCAGGAACTCCCTCACCCACCTAAACGAATTATAAAACGAATTACAGATCAAATTAAATTATAAAATAAATTACAGATCAAATTAAATTATAAAACGAATTGTAAAATGAATTACCTCTCAAATCGAATTATAACGCGGCCAAGAAATAGATCACGCGATAGTTTCGCGTTTAATCAAATCTATGCTAACTGAACTGATATCTGGCTTACTCTTTCTAAATATTTGAATTTGAATTACAATTGATTGTTTCTAAAGTTGTATTGTGTATATGTACAACGATTTTCTAATTGTTTTGTTTTGTCTATAACAAGTGTTGCTGGCAACAAAAATGTTGCCAAAACTGACTTAAGTATTTAGGAGGTAACGAGTATTTGGTATAATGTGAAATTAGCTTACTCTATGTGATTTGTTCGTAACGAGATTTCCAAATCCCGTAACACTTGAGTCGACGTTGACTCTCCAACCATTTTCCTCTTCTGGAAGAATGCGAGAAAACGATACGACTGTATAATCATTAGTATCCGTTGTTCAAGTTTTTGTACACGCGGAAAACAAACAAAAAGTAAACGAGTTTTTTATAATTCAAGAACAAAAATATTATAGGAATCACGTTTTATATATATTAGGGTGGTTATCTTTCGAAATTTGAATTGCGTTCTAAATACGAAATTCTAAATGCACCAAAACTTTTCTTAAAAAGTTAAAATTTTCCGTTCAGTTATTATTTTTTCCCCCAAAAAATTCTAGTTACTAAAAATCCATTCTGATTGGTACAGTTTCTATGATCATCTTACAGTTATTTAGTCACATCAGATTGCGTCATGTATTTGAAACGCACTGTAGTATTGAAGAGGCAAGTGAACAAAGTAAATTGATTCGAGAACAAAAGAATATATATTAAGACTGTTAAGTATTTATGACAATAAGAACCACCTTAATATATATTTCTAGATGTCGGTCAATGTAATTGCAAAGAATCATATATATGAAAAAATTAATGAAATATCAGGTGGTCTAGTAAATTTTTCAATATATTTATGAAAAATCGGCACAAATTTATCGAACACACTATATTACTAGCGCCAAAGAATTATGAACAACTAAAGATATTATACCGGATGCATGAAATATTCATCACTTGGAATATTCAATTTCTTAAATTATCTCAAGACGTGATTCTCTGATTAGTTTGAACGACGATCAGAAATATAACGTAGATTCTGGGACGTTAGTTTACTTCAATTCGCGTTATAACACAAAAAGACGAAAATACGAATACATTTTCCTGAAAATATATATAAATCACATTTATAATAAAAAGTATATGTTTCACGACAGACTATTTCACTGTCAATTCAAGTAATTGTAGAATAAATAACACTACCTTAGTAAATCATATAAATTTTTCGACATGTTTTAAGAATACGCACGACACCAAAGTATAATCTCGTCAAACGAATATATTTTTCTATAAGCACACTACTAGCGACATCTCTGAATGCGCGTAGAAGTTAACATAATTTCGTTGAATCTGATCCACATATATTAATTATATCAAGGTACATAAAGGTTATACAAAAGGTTATTAAATAGAGATTATTAGTTTATTATTTAATGAAGTTTGCTATTTAAATATTATTATTTCCTACAGATTATAAAGTGAAGATTATAAGGATAACATAAAGGTTATGCCAAAAATGAAGTTGGTTTGATGGAAAAATTTTAAAGAAGAGATGTGTTATAAAAGATTTAACCATTTGAAGCCATGCATATGTAATTCAGCAGGATTTAGCGAATGCCTTAGTAATCAACGTGCTGCGTGCAATTCTACACTCGCCGACCATAATGGGCAAGTCTTCACTAACGCGTAGAACAATATCCCACGGCCTCCTAAACGCGTGAATACGTACGTGGATGCGTGTCTCTAAAACTAATTTGGCTAATTCCAAACGAGTTCGCTTTGCGGACACACTTTCATCTCGTGTTTACACTTTCGGGCTGTTTTCAAAGGAACTTCGTTACTTTCTTCTGACTTTTCTATGGAAAACGATACAATCACTCCTTTGAAGTCTGAATTATTTCTGCGATTATTTCAGGTATTTGCAATGCTTTATAATTTAGTAATAACCCTTATTTCAATTTTATTATTATTTTATCACATTTTAGAATGATACTGCAATTTTTTTTAACTGCTTGAATATTCTTTTTCCAATGTTGATACTATTTTGGATTTTCAACCTTTGTTGTAAAAACTTTATTAATCTCCTCTAATGGACTGTGAATCTACAATTATTAAAATATGAATTCTTTTAATATACTAGTATTAGAAATATGTTATAGAATTATTATCTGCAATGTAAGTATTAAAATACTTCAATTAATTATTAAAAAAATTTGGAATTATAAAAATTTGTTTAATTACAGTAAAATATTTAAGACATTAATATTTAATAAATATTTAAAGTAAACAAAGAATTTTTAAAATAGATTTCTTATTTTACATTTATGCTTTTATCTTCATTCTTAATTAATAATTTTTATCTAATCATTATGTCATTTATGTGTGGTTAATTATTAATTATCATTATTTACCATTAATTCCAATTTTTAGTAATAGTAAGGTAGGAATCATAGAAATTAGTGTGATCATTAATTGATCATTAATTCCGCAATGTATAACGTATACAATAAAACTAATGCAAAGTAATTTTTAGCATTAACCAAAACTTCGTAGATCCTTTATTTGGGAAGCGAACGTGATTTCCGTGATATTCTGGCGGGAGAGGAGTTTAGAAGGTTATGTAAAGTGTCGTATCCAGGCAAACGCGAGCACGTGTGTAGCGAGCACGTCTACGCCGATGAGTGAGGGATGCTGTACACTTTTTTGCAGCCCGCTTTCTTGTATCGTATAATAGCACGGCTTGCATTACATCCGTGTCGTGTTACCCACATGCCCTACAGGCCCGTTAAAAAATTGAGACGGGCCATCGATGACCCCGAACAGGCAACCCTGTCGCCTCAAGAATATCTTGTTTCACGAACAGATTCTATGCAACGGCATCGCGAACACCTTATGACATCGGATTGACGCGTTTATAGCGACCGACTTGTCCGTTTAATCCTTAGTATAGACAGGTAACACTGAATTACAACACTGAATCTCGTGTAATTACCACTTAAAGGGAATACATAGTACATATAAGATATACACATATTTGTCCGTTTTGGTTAAATTATCATTATATAAATTTTAATATTTGTACAAAAAATGAAAGATCAATTTTTTATGTAATTTATATATCAATAAGAAGTTTAATATTAACAATTAATAAGAATTAATATAAATATTAATAAGAAGTTTATTAATATATAAGATGTATACATCATAAAATTTCTATATTTTCAAATTTTTTTGATCATATGTTTGATGTTACTACTTATAACACTACATAAATTTAGTGCAATTATTTATTTACATGTTTACTGAAATACGTACAAATTGATTTCGTATTCTTTTTATTAATTAATCTTGTGGAGAAATTTTGTTCAGTTTCGTTTATAAGAGTAAGAACGTACATTTGTTTAAGTTACACGAATAAACAATATTTAATATTTTTTTAATAAGAGAAATATTGTGCTTTTATAAATAATGACAATAATTCAAAGAATTATAATTAATATAATAACATAATAATTGTTAAATGTTAACAATAATGAAAAGCTATTATATAATTGCTAGAAATACTATGCTTCATACAAAATATTAGTACCAATAAGATAGCACTTACAAAATATAAATAGATGACTATATAAATTCCAAGTTACATGATTTTATAAAAGATTAAAATAGAAAGAAAAGAAATCTGTCATTGTGAATCTAAAATTCTTACTTTTCATTTATAAAACTATTATTCAACGTACTGATTAATTGTATATTGTTAATTAAATTAGAAATTAAACTAAAAAGTCTACAAATTCAATTTCAACTGCTTACAAAATAAAATATTATATTCTATGGAATCTTATCATTCGATCTCTAGATTCCGTTAAAGTGACTGAGTTTATAACAGGGGACATCGGAAAAGGTCATTTCTGAAAACACGTTGATTATAATTTTTATGTTGCAGGCGACCAGTCGAGCCAGAAGTTAGGGTATAGAAATTATTTTATGGACGTAGATCCGTACTTCTGCGGGCTATATGAAATACTAGGATGTGTCGTAAACCTATGACACGGCTCACGAACAATTCCTGGGCATGGAATCTGCCTCCCCCTGGTCCTAACACCGCCACTTGACCAGTGCCGCTACCTTGCTAACCTCTCAGTCATCGAAGTGAATTCTCGTGATCCTAAAAGGATTACTCACGTTTTAAAATAATTTACTAAAGGTATTATTGCTTATTTTTCATGATTCGATATGAATTTACATAAATAATATAACTAGTATGTTCCACAAATCATAGGAATAACCGTGTACAAATGCATTTAACGACAATTTAAGTGAGACCGAATGGAATTTTTCTGAACATCAAATTATTCATTATACCATGAAATTATTCGTCGTTAATACAAATATAAATAATATAAATTAATAACTAAATAAATAATACTAAATAAAACTACAAAACATTTGAAGATTTTTATTGAAACTGATGAGCAACGATACACGTTCCATGCAATGATGCAACTTCTTCCCCGAACGTCACCGGTAAACTAATGTTTGTCAGTAAGCTCCAACAGCTGGAGCCACTGTATCAATCACGTGTTTTATTCTTTCCCT